GTGATCATTCTTAATCTTTACATTACTTGATGTCGGTTTTTTTATCAGAGCTAGAAGGAAAACCTATCCATGTATGGACAATTACCTTTATAGGATACGATCGTTGTCTTCTCTATTGATTTGTAGAGATAAAAGCCTCTTGGGAATGCAGGTTGGATGCCTACGTATGATATGAGTATTATGGGACCTTAATTAACTTCTTTAATCTATATAACACAGCTGCCCTTTACTTGGCTCCTATGGTAAGGCTAAGTCAACTTATATAATTTATAGATACGAATAGAAACTGGTTTCGATTAATCTCCTAAGATAACATTATTGAGGGTACTTACATTTCGTACGAAAGTGCACGAGGAAGAGATTCGTAGGTCGATCTACCCAGAGGAAGATGAATGAATCCCGTTGTACTGTAGCCGTTTGGCTTTTATACGAAGTTCAGTTTGACGCAGTTGACAAGATTTCTCCTTCGGTTCGGGTCAAAACTGGGTTGAGCTTCCGTCCATCGTATGATGGACATTATCAGAGCTTGGTCCCATTCCTGTAAAAGTTTCACGTTAACACTAGGGCAAGAGAACTACCTGGCTCTATCTTACCTATTATATAGGTTCATTAAGCCAAAAGAAAATTAAAAACCTAGATAGATATAGAGTGGCCTGACTAATTATCTTTCATACTGATCCTGCTAATTTTGCTCGAGTGTGTGAGTGTGTGTATTTGTGACTGTTAGCGTCTATACGCAATACCGGTCCTAAATAAGACTTATTAAAAGGCTAATGTCAGGTTTCATCAACAAGGCCTAATGACCCAAGATAAAGCCCTGACCGAGACTGCGTAAGTCCGTATGCAAGTATGGTTGAGATAATAAGCATGTAAGTCTAGTTACGAAACCACTTGTCCTAACCTCTCAGTCTTGGGTCATTAACGTTTAACCCCTCAAGGAAAAGCATGACTGGAACTGCGTAATCTGGCACGTCGGGTTTGTTGATGAGCTTAATCTAACATGTTGCACAAGTGTAAGCGAAGTTAGAACCATCATCGAGAAGACAAATTAAGTCGCCTTTTGACGGCGGCTCAACATTCTGTCCTTCAACCTATCAATCAAGCATAAGTAGTTCCTACTCAACTTTCTACCACCGTTCCTCATATTCAATGTATTTCCAAAGCTATTAATTTCAATAGCCTCTCTTATCATTCTTTTAACCACCATAACCAGCAAACCTACTAGTTTGAGACCATTTTATTTCATGTTTAGTTTCTATCACGTGTTCGGCCACTTCTGACCGTCGGACCCAGCTTCTTTTACAAGCATTTTTGTTTTCTCCCGATATCTCCCGATTGAATAGGTGGACATGTTGCTATCCGCTAACCTCAGACTTATAATAATCATTGACTTCAAAATTCCAACTTTAGTCTTGTAACTATGGTTGGAAATAAAATTAAGCAAAGAGCCAACATATGTTGGCTTCCTATGAACATGTCTTCCTAACTTATCCTCTCTAATAATGAGAACATCCAAAAAATTAAAGACCATTTCGTTAAATATAGACAAGTTGATACCTCTCATGCTGGTGAGACCTATTCGACAAAGATAGGGGTTAAACGTTAATGACCCTAGACTGAGAGGTTAAGACAAGTGGTTTCGTAACTTGACTTACATGCTTACAAGCTCATATCTCACTATCTCAACCATACTTGCATACGGAATTACGCAGTCTCGGTCAGGGCTTTCTCTTGGGTAATTAGGCCTTGATGATCAGAGAATGACATTCGCCTTTTGATAACTCCGATTTAGGACCGGTAGACGCTAACACACACATTCGATCAAAAGTAACAGGATCAGTATGAATGATAATTAGCCAAACCACTCTATATCTATTTAGGTTTCTAATTTTCTTTTGGCTTAATTGAGTCTATATAAAAGGTATGATAGAGCCGGATAATCCTCTTGCTCTAGTGTTAACGGAAGACTTTTTCAGAAATGAGACTAAGCTTTAAAGATGTCCATCATATGATGAACGAAAGCTTAGCCCGTTTTCATCCGAACTGCATCAACCTGAACATCGTATAAAAGCCAAACGGCTGCAGTACAACAGGATTCATACGTCCTCTTTTGGTGAGATCGACTTACGAATCTCTTCTCCATGCGCTTTTATAAGAAATGAAGGACCCCTCGACAATTGTATGATTTATCATAAGTTCTCTGACGTCATCATGAACAGGACCCATACCGAGACTTCGTCTAATGTGATTTATTCATCTGACTATTCGTTCTCCGATCGGCCCCTGAATGTCATCCATATTCCGATAGTATATGACTTGCCGATTTTCGAAAAATGCAGAGCACTTTTTCCTTAGCATGAGATCTCGAATTTTTAATGACAGAAGTATATACTGGTTAGATTTTGATTGAGACAGCATTCGTTTAAGCAATAGTATTTATGCAAAGATATTAAGACCAAGATGGTGTGGTCGCAGTCTCATCTCGTTATATAGAAGTTGTATTGATAGGAAGACTTAGAGGAACCCATCTTGTCAGGAGTCCATTGTATGCATGATAATTTCCTGTCGGAATTTATCAATGGAAATGTACCACGTTTACAATCCAACTTTTGAAATTATATTGATACAATGGACTCCGGACTAGGTGCATTCCTCTAAGTCTTCCTACCAATATGACCTAGTTGCGAAAAAAGGTAAAACAACTTCAATAGTATTTATACTTGTCAGTTAGAATTGATTCTTTTTTATAATTTCTTATTTTTTAATTTGCTGTCCTGTTTATTCAGAAACCTAAAAGATATAAATACCATGACATATGACATAAGATTAACTATATTTATAAATGTGCAAGGAAAAGTGATTGATTGATTATAGACTTTTTTTTCTTTGTATATATTGTGAAACGATAAATTACACTAGCTCTTCTTGCTTCGCTTTTTCTAACTATTACTTATCTCAATTTGCTTTTATGTCTAATAAGGTTATTTCATTTCACAGTTTCTTGACAGTCTCGACTATACTTTTGCATTGTTCGTCTTTTAAAATTTTTTCATTATTCCCTTAATCTGTTTGTGCCTTTTTATCATTGAAAAAATATTCCACTAAAAGTTTTATTCATTTTCGCATATTAGTTTATGACTGGTCGTGGTTTGTGGCCTGGAGTATTTCGAACCAGCGCTTTTGCATCAGCTATATGGTGTTACCTTAGGCGCCCGACCTCAGTGACTCTAAAATAATTTAAATTACCCAAATTTTCGTTCTTTCTAATATTATCTGAAAATGCTGGATGAAAGTTTCAGAACAATAGAACCTTGGCATATATTTGCCGTCCTTTAAATGCCTGTCATTTTCTTCTATTGCTGACCCCAATGATTTCCTGCCGCTTTTCTCTCTGTCATATGATATCAAAAAGCATATAGAGTTTAGAGTTAAAATGAAGTGGCTTCTAGGACCGGGTCATGAATTTAGGTCTCATTAGTGGATGCTGGTGAAGCTATATGAAGGGGCCAAATTTTGATGATATCGGTAATTGGTGATTTTTTGTTGTCTAAACATTGAGTTCAACAAACAGCATATGTTACTAGTCAATTAAAAGTGATTCCTCTCATTTCATTGATTTTCTTCCACGCTTAATTTCTCATCTATGAGCCTGTTGTTTGACACTATTCGGTTTGAGTATTAGCTCGGAAATACTAAACTTAATTTCGCAATACCCTCGAATCTATCTTTTTAAGTAGCTTTATTTTATATGACTAAAATAACCGTACGAGTTTATCGTTATGCCAGTAATAGCTGATATTGTGACATGTAAACGAAAGATAAGGTATTGCTGGATTCTTAAATTTCCTTTTGTTTTTAAAGCTCAATACTTCGGCTTATCATTTACATTATATCATTGAATGGTTATAAATATATTATAAGAATTCCTATTGAGTTAACTTTTGTGTCCATTCTAATATTAAAGCTAGCCTTTTGGAGATAAGTCAACTACTTCTCCTTTGATTCTCTTGTGGTCTCTAAGCACTTTTATGTACTATTTTCAATTTATTAATGATTGTTAATGGGCATGAAAGTTATTATTGTTTTTAACAGAAACTTACTTTGTTTAAGAAGTGCTTGACTTTGTTACTAAGGCAGAAAAATACAGCGAATGCTTTTGAACTATGCATATGCATGGTGCTTTGTGAGAGGCCTGAGTGGAGTGTTCCTGATTTTGAGGCATAAACTACAAGGACTGTAAACAAAAATACATCTAAGAGGTTGGAAGAACAATCAGCACAAAGATCAAACAACATCAGCGACTATGCGGAAAAAATGGATACGTAAATATTGGAGATAGCTGAATGTATCGCTCTTACTGGCCACATAATTGACTGGAGTGCGAGGGAAAAACTGACCACATATGGGGAAAACACCAAGAAACAGAAAATCAGAGAAGCTGTGGATATCCTCCTTCAAAGAAATCTGATGAAAGCGGTATTAGAGGGAAGAATTAGCGTAATTTCGCGTACTGCCTGGACAGATTGGAAATTCAGCGATTACATTTAAAAAAAGGCGCTTGGACCAAGTACAACTGTTTTCAAACAGGAAGAGACATCACTAAAGAGCGGCTCATAAGGGATAAATATAAGCCAAGAAAAGGTGATACCAGTGAGACGGGTAAAACCTGAAATCGGCCAAAAAAATTTACCGCAGGGGGGTCTACCTGTGAGACTTCGGGGCTTGTTCGCATTATTTGTGTCTGTCTGAAAGGGAGATGACTAGTGACATTCTTGAACACGGAGGATACCAGCCAACACACACATGAGCATCATACCAGTACCCTAGGTTAGATGGGACTGTCAGCTTGAAAGAAGAGAGAAGTATGATTTTCGCTATTCAGGAGAGGAAAAAGGAAAGTGGAGCATTTTCATGCCAGTGGTTATGATTTAAGCAAGACACAAAGCCCCAAAGAATGAGACACAATGGGGGGTGAAGAATAGGATAATCGAGTAGTGGGTTTAAAGCCTAGGGAGAGGAAGATTCCCAGTCACTGGCATGGGCATCATCTGTCTAATCGGGGACAGGAATTGCAGGCTTTTTGACGTCCAGACGGTGATTTTTATGTTGGAGTACTTTTTATTTCGTTTGAAGAGGCGAATGGAAGGGATTCGTAATTTGGTCTCACCAAAATCTGCATTGAGATTGCCTTGGACACATTGTAGATTTGTGCGAATATGTCCTTGGTGCACCATCTTGCGAGCCCGTCGAATCCTTGCTGAGCCTTCGTCTGTTATGTGATGGACATCATCCTTTACAATAATTCCCCAAAACACAAAGACAAGAAAGGTGGCCTGCTTCAAACCTACCCACTTCTTATAGCCCAATTTGGTCCACTTAGACATCTCCTTTTCGAAACCCAGTTTTCCTACATATTGATTATTATGTTTGGCAGTGACCAATTGACAAGCGGAGTAGGAGAAAGGTGGCAGATTGTAGGTCAGGAGCTGTGCAAATGGCACCCGGTACCGGTGGCGGAGATGATTACGCTTCACTAAACCCACTTGCAGTGACACATTCTTAGGCGACATTGGGGGAAACAAGAGCATAAAATTATGTGAATATGGAGATGGGTCATATGAAGTGGAGACTGTTACCAAACAGAAGGCCATACAATCTTGGTCTCCATTTCTACGAACCAACACCTTATGATGTTGGTTTGAGAGAAATAGATGCAGCACTAGAAAGTAGAACGAAAAATAGAGACGAGGAGTGATACCACATCGGTTAGACAGAAAATTGGTCACGAGGATTGCCTTCACTTGTTACCTTGATATGTTGTAACTCTGTGCTAAGGATAGTGCATCTCACTGTCTATGCAGGCGAAACGTTAGTGAAAAATATCAAGTCAATGTTCCGGAGTTGGAAATTACTAATACTATTATGACTAATACTACTATGACTAGATACGTTTTACAAGGTATCCCTGACGTTGTGACCAAGTTGCGATAACAAGGTCGAACCAACGCTATAGAGCTAAAGGAGACCTTGACCAAGCAGATGGCCACCATCTTGGTCTTCATATTCGGGATTTAACTCATCTTTGTCTCCTAAAAAGCTTCTATCCTGGGTGGGATCTCAGTTTCAGCCTCTCTCATGTCTCATCAGCTCCCCTAACGGGATTCGAGACAAGCATAATATGTTTGCCTTATCAGCGATCTCGTAGTAAGTGTGATATGATAGAGTCCAATCTGCCTTGACATTTTCGCCTGCCCTATAACCTAATGGAACTCGTAGAGCCAATATGTCGAAATTTTACTGCGTCTGCCGAGTTCGATCCCCATGTAGAGTACTGATAAGCCTCATGCGAGGTCGAGATTGTCGTCCAATTTGTATGAAAATTCCTTTAGTAATGCAAGGCTAGGTAATGTATAGTGGTTCTGTGGGGAATTCTCGTGTAATTTAAATAAAATTCGAATAAAAGTCCTTCAATACATGCGACAGGGTGGCTTCAGCTCTTATTCAAGATACACTCATAGTATATAAACCTACTTATTAGGGATGTCAATGTTATTTGCTTTAATCTACATCAAAATTGTTACACTTGAACAAATATTTTCTCACGCACTGCCTTGCTACGGGCAAGCTATACTGTTTTATAGAAGTTGCTTGACCTTGTTTTCGCAACTTGGTCATGGTGGTATGGAGACTGATAGAAACGCACCTTGTCCTGAGTCCATTGTATGCATAATTATTTCCAGAGTCGGACCGTGG